GCCTGCAGACGCGCGGATCGTCCATGCGCTCCTCGCGGGCAGAATGCTGGGCAGCAGCGTCAAGAGCGTGCAGCCCGAGGTGGAGCTGAGTGGCGGCGGCGGCGGGGACGAGGGCGCGGACGAGCCTCGGGGCACCGGTAGGAAGGCGGCAGCGGCGGACGGCAGAGGCATGCTGCCCAAGCGCGCCAAGGCCCCCGGCGGCGGTGGCGGCATGGCCAAGGCCAGCGCGGCCGAGCTGAAGGTCTTCAAGTCTGGCAGCGTGGACGGCCGAGTCCCCGGAGGGCCTCCCGCCTCCAACCTGCGCAAGCAGAAGTCGCTCACCAACCTCTCGTTCCTCACCGACTCGGAGAAAAAGCTGCAGCTCTATGAGCCCGAGTGGAGCGACGATATGGCCAAGGCGCCCAAGGGCTTGGGCAAGGCGGGGTCCAAAGGCCGCGAGGCTCCGCTTATGTCCAAGACGCTGTCCAAGTCGGAGCACTCGCTCTTCCAGGCAAAAGGCAGCCCGGCGGGCGGCGCCAAGACCCCCCTGGCTCCCCTCGCGCCCAGCCTGGGAAAGCCGAGCCGGATCCCGCGCGGCCCCTACGCCGAGGTCAAGCCGCTCAGCAAGGCTCCTGAGGCAGCCGTGAGCGACGATGGCAAGTCGGACGACGAGCTGCTCTCTAGCAAGGCCAAGGCGCAAAAGGGCTCCGGGCCCGTGCCCTCCGCCAAGGGCCAGGAGGAGCGCGCCTTCCTCAAGGTGGACCCCGAGCTCGTGGTGACCGTTCTGGGAGACCTGGAGCAGCTGCTCTTCAGCCAGATGCTGGGTAAGTCCTGCCTCCCCCGCCCCACCCCTGGCTTTCTCCTAGCCAGCTGCAAGGGAAGGTGTAGAGAGAGCGCAGCTCCCTTTCTTTTCTCCTCCTCCCGGTAGGGCTCTCCAGATTTCGGTCAGGTTGTGAGGGGGCATTGGGCCCAGATGTGCAGGGCTGGCCTACCTCCAGATGCGCATGGCTAAAGTGCGTCTTCTTAAAGATGTCACCAGGCAGGAGCCCAGGCTCTGCTCTGGCCTGCCTGAGGTGAGGCTGGACAGTGGTGTGGGGGTCACAGATTCTCAGAAATAGAGCCCATTAGCTTCCTCGAATTTTAAAGCCCAGAATCCTAATATGGCAAAATCTGGGGCTGATGGAGACCTCAGTTGTGTTGTGCTCTGTGCTTGGCGAGAGAGCATCCAGCATTGCTAGGGGAGAGTGCAGTGAGAGCCCGGATCTAGAGGACAGATGTGGGGAAAGCAGATGTGAGGGCTCTTTGGCCCCAGAGCAGAGCCGAAGCTCCACTTCCTCTGTGGATCCCTGGTGGGAGCGCGAGTCGGATTTCCCGGGTGTGGGGGTTCTGGCAAGGAAACACGTCTGGGGCCAGGGGGCGGGCGGGTAGCCAGCTGTGCGCATCTGGATGTTCGTCCTGTACCTCGGCTCAGGCTCTGGCCCAAACCCCTACCCCCCAGGTTTTTTACAGAGTGTGGAGAGGTCTGGGCTCTCGCGCGGAGACTCCTGGTTGACTGGGAAGCCTTTGCCCTTTGGCTAATGGAAGCCGAGCGGGCGGGAAGGGAGGAACAAAGCTTGCTCGGGCGGAGGAAGCGCCGAGAGCTGCTCCATTGTTCTCCAAGCCTGAAGAGTCTATGCAAAAAACACGGAGCGGGCCCCGGAACTGCGCTCGCTTTCCCCCGGAGAGCCCTCGCCCTGAGAGGGATAGATCCGGGAAGTGCAGGACGCAGGGCTGCCGCCTCGGGAGCCGGCACGGGTCGTGCCGGGGCCACGGGAGGACGGCGGCAAGGCCTGGAGCCCGAGCGGGCCTCCTAGGCTCCGCGGACTCGTTGCGGTGGCTGGGATGTGGGTCCTCCGGCGCCGAGGGACCCGAGCTTCCCCGGTACCAGGCAGGCTGCCCGCCCCGCTGGGGGCTGGGAAGGGGCGTGTCCGTGCGCGTGTGAAGGGGCGGGGCCGACGCGGGCTATGGTCCGAGGACCGGCTGGAGGAGATGGGGCGGGTGGGGGGGATGGGGGGGGGGGGTGTTCGACTGGCAGCCTTGGAGAGCGCAGAGCAGGAGAAGACTGGTTGGACCTGCTGCTGTCATCCCCGGACCCCCAGACCCCGGTGTGGCCAGTAGGAGGAACCGCTGACCAGGAGCAAGAGCCTCTTGGAGCTTTGGATTGGGAGCCTCTCCCAACAGGCCACATTTGGGCTTTGCAGGGGCAGTTAGGAGACTGCACAAGGGCAAAGAAGGGAAGAGCAGCTTTTTCCCTAGGAGAGCCCCTCCTGAAGGCCCCAGCCCCGGCAGGGACAAGCCAGGATTGGGGGTTCAGGGGTGCAGAAGCTGACAGGGCAGCCTTCTGCTGCAGAGGGAGAGTACCACCCCTGTGCCAAGTGAGGCCCTCAAGGAGCTTATGGTCTAGTGGGATGAGACAGACAAGGAAGAAAAAAATAATTCCAGACAGCAGGAGGGCCATGGAGAAAATGGAAGGGGCCCCTGTGATAGAGGAGGACTGGAAAGGAGCGATCTTTAAGCTTAAGGGAGGTGAGAACTGAATTGTGTCTGAGGCCAGAGGAGGCACCGGGCAGGGCAGACCCGGCTGGGGGAGGAACATTCCCCAGGCACTAAGAAGCGGATGTGGATGGGGTGTGGATGGTGCTAGAGGAGAGGAGAATCGAGTGTCTGTGTCCTGGGAGGGGAAGGGAGTGTCAGGGACTCAGAAAAGTAGAGGGCACAGCTCTCTTTTCAAGGTCAGGGCTTCACTGGTTTGGGATGTCTTAGCTGATCTGGGCTGTCCCCAGACGGGCAAGACCCAGCACTGCCCCAGGACCTGGCTGCCTCCTTAGTCGTTCATCAAGAGACAGTCACCTCAGAAACCCTGACAGATAGTCTTAGAGCTGCCTGGGGTGGGGTGGAGGGCAGGCGGGGAAGCTGAGCTGGGGTCCCTTACTCCTGTTCAGCAGTTGTCATTCTCAAAGCACACTGGTGCCGCAGCCTCTCAGGAACCTTGGAGATAAGGAGAAAACACCCCCCTACCCCACTTCCCAGTAGGGAAAATGCAGGGTCAAAAGCACCAAGGGCTTTATTATAGCCATCTCTGAGTTAGTAATGGGAGGCAGGTTCTGCTTGTGTTCCTAAGTCACTGGCTCCATCTGGGAGGCCCAATGGAGAAAGGGGAGTCAGCAGGTCAGGAGGGGTCTGACCAAGGCAGGTGTCCCTGGACATGGGGCCACTGACCTGCCCTGCTGACCCTGCAGAAAGGCTGAGGGGCTAAGATCTCTGCTGGGGAGAGAGCGTGGAAAGTCTGGCAAACATGCTGGACTGTTTGGGGCTGTGAGGACGAAGGTGGGGGTGGAGCTTGTGGGTAGGTTCTAGAGGGACAGTGCTTGGCATCACAGGGCGGTGGGGAGGGGAGAGGGTGGGATCTGGTGCTTTCAGGCGAAATCTCTCTTTTGTGTGAAGGTGATGAGAGTTGGGGTAGAGGGTAGACTGACCCTTTGAGGGACCAGGGGACAGTAGAGCTGGCTCAGTGTCTCCAAACCCATGAAGGTGTTCCAGGTTGTCAGGACTGGCCTTCACTGGAGAGCAGGGTGGCCTCTGAGGAGAAGAATGGCTGCCTCGATGCCTCAGGATGGTGGCTAAAAACAGAGTATTTGTTCCCTACTTGGGAGGCTGAGGGTCAAAGGTTACACACTCCTTGGTATGATCCCAGACCCAAGAAGCTGCCAAGATCCAGTTTCTGGGGGGGAAGGGGGTGAGGCAGCCCCAAATAAGAGCCTTTCTGGAATAAAAGAGAACTGAAATTCGATCACTCCCTTCTCAGAAATCAGCTGGGACCCAGATGATCTAGGCAGGCTCCGTGCCCCTTCCCTTGTTTTGGAAGCTGCCAAATAACTAGGTTCCCACTGGGGAACCCTGGAAACTTGGAAGGCTGAAGGGTGAGTGCCCAGGGGGAAATGGGCCAATCCCAGGAATCAGATGTCTTTGGACCCTGGCCAATGGTCCACATCAGGCAGTTTGGCTCTGAGAGGAAGTGTCACCAGACCTGGGCCTGGGGCAGGGTGGGAGGTTGTGGTCCTGAGTTCCCTGTCTGGAAGTTCTAAGCTCTGTGACCTCCTCTGGAACCCAGTTTCCCCATTTGTGAATGGAAGAGACCCTCTCATGGCTCTTCCCTACCTATAGTGTTGGGGAGGGGGCTGCAGATGAAGGTGGTCAGAACTTGAAAATGTCCCAGGCCATTTAACTACATAACACCATCCCAAACCACACTCTTCCTGCTTCATCAGCCCTGGGCCTAAGGATCTCAAAGGAAAATCAGTCTGTTGACTCCCCACACATTCACTTTTCCTTTCTTCAACCCTCTAGGCGAAGGGACAGAGTGGAGCAGCTAAGGCAGCCCAAGGTCAGGGTGTAAAGGAACCCAGGTGGCTGGGATTCCTAGTCCCACTTCTTCAAGAAGGTGTCTGGACCGATGGGAGGTGTTGTCATGACAACAGTTAGGTCCTCAGAGGCTCAGGGCAAACAGAACAGGGGAAGTCCGGAAGTCATCCATTTCTAAGCCAATTGGTTGATGTTGGTTTTAAGGGGGTGGTGAGAGTGGGATTTACTCTAGAGAATGTGTTCTGGGATGCTTTGAATAGAGGAAGAGAAGAAATTACTTCCTTCTTCTTCAATGCACTGGGGGGTCTGGGTGGGTAGAGGAGTTACGTGATTTCTTCCGAAAGAACTGATGCCCAGAGGCAGCAGGTAAAATATGTGCAGGCTCACCTAGTCAGAGGCTCCACGCCCAGAGCCACTCTTCCCAGGGGTTCCCCGGAGGCCTAGCAGGAACAGGAGGACAAAGCTCACCTCTAGCCTTCCCCTGGGCATAGCAGTTCGCTGGAGGATGCTTATAGATTCACAAGCTGAAGGAAGGGCTGTGGCAAGGTGTGGGGGTCTGAAGGTGAGCATGCATGTGGAGAAACTAGCATAGAACCTTCCATTTGCAAGGTCTCCTGCCTTCCTCAAGGTTAGCACTGAGGGGTACATTTCTTTTCTCACATGCCCAGAACTTTTTCTTCCCTGAGCGGGCTTAGTGCTCTCCCGGGGCCCCATCCAGGTCCTGGTCCTAGCCTTGGGGCATTGCCTTGTTCAGATGGCTGTAGCAAAGCTGTTCTCTTCACCTGGCAGCCACAGCTCTGCTTCTGAGAGTAACGGATGGATGCATGAGTAGGTCTTGGGGGCAGTTCCTCTGCTCTGGGGAGAAGCAGATGGAGCCGAAGTGCCTGGAGCTTCTCTGCTACCCCGGAAGCATAAACCAACCCAGGGAGATGCCCTTTATCATCAATGCTGGCTCCAAGCCCAGGCCATAGGCTCCTTCTAGATGTGGACTGAATGGGTAACAGGACCAAGTCACCTGGAATCCTGGGCTGTTTCCCGATACTTCCCTCTTATTCTACACCCCCCCCCGACGTGTAGCCCCACGTCTGCTATTGTGGCTTACAGCTGCCCCTCCCCACCGTGACCTGTCCCCAAACCTAGGCTGCCAATGCCAGATAGTTTCTCCTGCTAACTTCCAATCTTTCTCCTCTAGAACTGTCCCTCCGCACACACATACCCACTCCTCACAGCCTCTGATCCCAAGTGCTGAAGGTGCAGTTTGCTCCTTGGGGTTCAAGGGAGAGCCCGTCCTGCTTTGAGCAGGCTGAGCAGAGCCCCCAGGGTTCCTAACTGCAGCTGAGCACCCTGCTTCTCCTTCACGTCTGCAGCACACTGCGGTGTCTCCTGGTACGGCCAGGGAGAGCAAAAGCCCCTCCTCCCCCAC